GATTCAAAGGGCAATGGCAACTCTGTAACCGCAGTCCAACACCACACATCACGGTGACGTCACCTTGGCGCATCTGCGAGGAGTCCTCCTTGAGTCCTTCCTTCATCTGCGGCACAAGTTCGCCCAGCACGCGGTCGCCCATCTTGCGCACAATCTCGCCCAGCGTCCGCGCCGCAGTCGCCTGCCTGCTCGTGGACAGGTGGTGGGTGCATCATGTATGTGAGTGGATGGGCGTGTGTGCGTGTGCGTGTGTGTGTGTGTGTGCGTGTGCGTGTGCGTGTGTGTGTGTGTGTGTGCATGCATGCGTGTGCGTGTGCGTGCGTGTGTACAACATATGCATGTGGGTTTGTGTGCATGGCATGTGCGTGCGTGTGCCGCTACGCTGGAACGGACCTAAACTCGGACTCGTGTGCGAGGGAGGTGAAGATGAGACGCATGAGCTCGTGCAGAATCTCGCGCAGCGTCCGCATCGAGTGGTCGACGAGGACCTGCAGTTGGAATTGATAAAGGGAGCAGTGCTGCGGGTGAGACGGTCGCACGGCGCAATCCAAGTCGCAGCAGTGGAGCACAACAAGAATACTACAACAAGGGACACAGCATGCGGTACAATAGCACACACGAAACGCGCAACCGAAGACCAAACACCAAATAACACACGAAGCGCACAACAAACGGCCCACAAGTACACACATCAAACAACACCATCCACCATTCACGCAACACCAAACCACCACGCCAGCCACGGACCTTCCAGATGTGGAGGGCGGCGTCGCGGACGTGCAGTTGGTCGTCGCGGCGGAGGAAGTAGATGAGAGCAAGCACGCGGTTGCGCTGCTCTTCGCCAAGCTTCTCCACAAGCGCAAGGTTGCTCGTTGCAGTGCCCAGGCTGTCGTCCTCGTTGTTCGACAGCGTCGACTTGTTGCCAGATGTGCCTGTTGTCGAAACGGGGGCAGATGGTGGATGAGAAGAAGTGAGTGAGAGTGAATGAGACAGAGAGCAGAGAATAAGATAGGCTTCGACATTGCGAAACATGCAACACGCACACGCACACGCACACGCACACGCACACGCACACGCACACACGCACACACACACGCACAAGTGCAAGCATGTAAAGCATAAATACGAGTTCATAGCTGCAACACAGCACGACCCGTGGCAACGCACCTGCGAGCTGGTAAAGGAGATCGCCACAAAGGGTGAGGGCGGCAAAGCGCATGTGCCAGTCGTCATCAAGCGCGGAGGTGGTGAGCGCCGGCAGGAGCAGCGTGATGGCGTCGCCAATGTAGTTGGTGATGATGGTCCGCCCGGTCTTGAGCGCTGCGTCGCGCACAGACTCCTCGATGTCGCTGCAGGGGTGCAGTTGGGTCGAGAGGAGGAGCAGAAGGAGGACGACGAGGTGGTGGTGTGGTGGTGGTTGAGGGAGGGGGTTGCATGCATGAAGTGTGTCAGTGCAAGCAAACAGCAAAAGAAACGATGAAGCCGGGCGTGCTTTGCCAAAGCACGCACACACACATGATGCACTCACACACACACACACACACACACACACACAACACACAACACACACACACACACACACACACACACGAGGCCTAGACCAAGTGCTTGAATTGAGGTGATCGAGCCAGGGGGAGAGCTACATAGAGATAATCGTAAAAGTGACTGGCTCCACCATCGTATTTAGTAGTCAGTAAGTGTGTCTCGTATGATCTTCCGGTCTTAGAACTGACCCAGTATGGTGTGCAATGTACTAATACGGCTATAGGACCGATCTACTTAGTCCACAAGGTAGTTGCCGTGATCCGCGCAGAAACACGAAATAGGTAAAGTTGGATCGGGGAGGAAGGGTGGGGCCCCCCAAAGGCGTTAGCAAACAGTGCCCATGCATGCTGGGATAAGAGTAGTCTGACTCGTAAAAAGGTAACCTCCCCTAGCATACACACACACACACACACAAACATGATGCACCCACACACACACAAAAAAAACACACACACACAAACACACACACAAAACACACATCCACGCACAAGCACACACACACATGATGCACACACACACACATGATGCACTCACACCCACGCACATCCACACACACACACAAAAACACACAAAAAAACACAAAAACACACACATCGCACCTGAGGCCGTGGAGGATGGGGTCGATGATTTCGACAACGTGGGGTTGGAACGCCTCGCCAAATGCGAGCGGCAGGAACATCAGCAGCATAAGGTAGCCCTCCCGCACAGCAGGCTGCACCGCGCGCAAGGAAACACAAGGAAACAAACTCCAGATGAGGACAATATCCAACGCGCACATGCATTCATGCCCAAACAGCAAACAAACGCAAACACAAACGCAAACAAAAACAAAAACGAAACAAAAACAAAAACAAAAACACAGTCAACACATGCACAGGCACAAACGGAACACAGTCAGCAAACCCAAACGCAACAAACAAGTGCGTGTCGCGCGTGCTTGCTTGCCTTGGGGTGCTGCGTGTTTTCGAGGAAGGTTGGCATGAGCTCGACCAGGCGATCGGGGCCAAGCGCAGCCAGCACCTCTGCCAAACCCTACGATGCAATAACAGCAGCAGCAGCAGCAGCAGCAGCAGCAGGAAGAGGAGGAGGAGGAGGAGGAGGACCAATGGACGAGAGAAAACGAGCACAGGCATTTGTATGACAGAGTGGCGGGTTCAGCGTGAGAACAGTAGAGAGGAAGGGATAACACAGAAAAGGGAGGGGCCATAAACCAGGCTCACACGGTTGTTGAGGAAGAGGCCTCGCACCCGGTGTGTCAAATGCAACCGCGAGCAGCAGTGCAATAGAGCATAACGGGACCACTACAAATCAGCACAACCCCCCCCCCCCCCCAAAGCGCGAAGACTGCATGGTGTCGCCCTGTTACTCGCACCTGCGCTGCGCCTGCGCGGTCTGCAGAGGACGCGTCGCTGGCGAGGGTGTCGAGCAGCCACGGCAGCAGCTCGGCAAACCGCTCCTCGCCCATGCCCTGATGCCGGGGAGAACCAGCAGCACACGCACATGAGAGAGGGGTTGGAGCGCGAGGTGAGGTGAGACGAGGGATGATATTGGTGGTGGAGGCAGAGTAAGAAGCAGATATGCACCAGCACACGTCACGAAGGTGTGCACAAGAACAGGGAGAAGACCCTGAAAGGAACACACACACACACACACACACACACACATCATGCACACACACACACATCATGCACATCACACACCTTGACGAGGGCGCCGAGGGCGTTGGATGCGACGGCGCGCATCTCGGGCACGGGGTCAATGAGCGCTTCCTTGAGGCCGGGAACAAGCCCGTCAAGGTACGGCGCAAGATCCTGTGTGTTGGTGGTGGTGGTGGTGGTGGTGGTGGATGAGAGGGATAAGAGAGGAAGAGGTTGGCGAGAGGGCTGCAAAGAATGCAAGCTGAGCCATGTCAAGTGGGTGAGCAATATCAACGTCGACACAAACATCAATGTCAAGACCAATGCCGAGATCGAATGACACCGCCTCAGTTGGGGCAGAACGCACGTTGGGGTCTGTGAGGGTGTTCATGTTGCCGATGATGGTTGCCGCCTTGGTCTTCACGCGTGTGCTGCGGTCTTGCAGAGCGCGCTGGAGAGTGGCAGCCGAGGAAGTTAGTGGTGGAGGGAAATGAAAGGCGAGGGGTCGTGTGAGCAATTCAAATGAGATCGTTTGCGGTAACGCAAATGTGTAACAGAAGTGTGTCGCACAAACAAACACGTGCACACACACTGGCACACACGCTCCCGCAAACGTGCAAGCACCCACAATGACACAAAGAATACACAAGCAATGACACAAAGAATGACACAAACACGCTCCCAACCCAACCCCCCAAAAACCCAACCAAACCATTCACACGCGCGAACCTCCATGACGGGCATGATGAGTGCGAGGGATGGTGAGTCAATGACGTGGACAAACGCCATGTTCATGAGCTTGGTGAGGCACTTCTCCGTGTAGGTGACGGGATCGCTGAGGGCCTTGAGGATGGTGTTCACCATGCTCTTGATCTCGGGGTTCTTCACCACAGAGCCGACCTTCTTCAGCGCATCCTTGCCAGCAGCCTGCACCTTGGCGTGCGAGTCTGTCAGCACCTCCGTCAGGTGCGGCACGATGGTGGGCAGACACGAGGACAGCTGCTTTGGTGCGCAGAACGCCATGGACCCAAGCATCTGCACGCTGCCTTGCTTCGTGCGCCAGTTGTCGCTCTGCACGCACTCCAGCAGCTTCGGCAGCATCTTCTTCACGCCGTGGCCGGTGAGCTTGCTCATGACGGCACGGGCCGTGTCTTTCGCAGCGGCACGCACGTCGCGCTTTGGATCGCCAAAGCTCAGCATGAGGTACTGACTCAGCTCAACAACGTGCGGCTCAAATGTGCGGCCGAGAGTGATGCTAAGCAGCTCAATCGCCATCAGCGCACCCTCACGCTGCTCTTGCTTCTGCAGGGGAAAGTGGGAGGAGCGGGAAAAGGTGTTGGCAGAAAAAGAAATACGAAGGGGAGAAGACAGTGCACACACACACACGTACACGCACACACACACACGCACACACACACACGCACACACACACACGCACACACACACACACACACACACAGAGCATGGACACGTTGTGAGTTCTAGACAAGCCCATCGAAAGCAGAATGCGATGAGCACAAAACAGAGTTGTGCGTGCGCACAGCGGCGACGTGTAACAGCAACACCCTGCCCTCCAACTGCGCAGACGACGCATCAAGGCTGCACCTTTGACTCGAGGGCGGTGGTGAGGCGGGCCATGGCGTCCTGGGACTTGAGTGTCTTCAGGCCGCACGATTTGACGACAGCAGCGAGCCCGTACGCGGCACCGCGGCGCTCGCCGTACGTCTCCCCACGCAGCACCTGGTTCAGCAGCAGGTCAACCAGCTCCGGTCCTGGTGGTGGTGGTGGTGGTGGTGGTGGTGGTGGTGGTGGTGGTGAATAGTTGGTGATTGGTGGCCGTGGCAAGTGGTTGGTTGCGAGTGTGTGTGTGTGTGTGTGTGTGTGTGTGTGTGTGTGTGTGTGTGTGTGTGTGTGTGTGTGTGGCGGTTGGGAGTCACAGCAGCAACACAATGGAAGTTGGTTGAGGGCGCGTACCGCGGTCCTTGGTGCAGGAGAGGAGGGGCTGGAGACACTTTGCCACGGCCTCCTGCACGCGCTGGGAGGGCGTGGAGAGGGTGGCGATGAGTGAATCCGTGATGCTCGGAATGCGTGGGTCGGCCGGGTCAAGATGTGTCGCAACGGACCCAAACAGCACAATGGCACCGCGGCTGGATGGTGGTGCACGCGGGGGATGTTTTCGGGGAGGTTACATAGGAACGTGTGAGGACTTGATGTATTGAGGAGCGAGATGAATCATGCAAGAGGGGGAGGGGGCAGTCGTGCTGTACAGTGTGACTTGCACAAATTGACACAGGACACGCGACTCACGACATGCACACAATACACACACGCACCACAATACACGCACACTACTCTACGCACTTTGCACACACACCAACACACGCCACACGCACACATGCACCACACATGCACACGAGCACGCCTGTACCGAATGGTGTCTTCTTGGCTGGTCTTGCTGGGCTTGCTGAGGAACCTGTCAAAGACGGGCAGCAGCTTGGCAACATGGTTGCGGCCTGGTCAAGGTGGTGTGCAAGGGAGGTGTGCAAAACCATGCACCCAAAGAAGATGCGTTACCGAAAATAAAGCGTTCAACTCATGGCGTTCAAGCAAGTGCAGCAAGGCACCTTGCAACACGAGCATCAACAAAGGACAACACCGGCAGCCCCGCAATCTTCGCAAAACTTGGGTACAAACAAACAACTACACGAAGTTGCACGCTCACACACACACACACACACGCACACACGCTCACACACACGCATATTCACGTCGCCACAAGCGCTGTGCACCTTGCTCCATCATGATGGTTTGGCCGGCAGAGACGACGGCCTCGCGAACACCGGCGCTGCGGTCGCCAAGCGCCGTCTTGAGCATAAAGTCCACGATGCGCAGCGTCTGGGCCCCGTTGAGGAAGGGGGCGAGGGCACCCAGCCCAATGGCCAGGCCCGCGCGGCTTGGCCAGGGGTCCACAAACGGCTCTGAGATGATGTTGCCCACGTGGTCGCGCACGGGTTCCGGCACAATCAGCAGCCGCACGTACCTGCACGTGCAGAGGAGGGTGTACATTGTAGTGGTGGCGGCGTGTCAATGTGTGTGTGTGTGTGTGTGTGTGTGTGTATGTGTGTGTGTGTGTGTGTGTGTGTGTGCAACGTCGGGTGCGTGTGCAAGATAAAGTACACGAGTGTTTGACGTGGACATTCATGTGTGTGTGTGTAAGAATGTTGTACGCACGAGTCGAGGAGGCGGTCGAGGACGGCGTCCACCTGGTCCCGGTGCTGCTCAAGGGCAGTGCTCAGCGCAGCCGCAGCGGCAACACGCACAGGCTCGTACCTGCGCGCGCAACAAGGGCACAGAGGTGTGTGAATGTATGTTTGTGATTGTGTGTGTGTATATGTTTGTGCTTGTGTTTGTGTTTGTGATCGTGCTTGTGATGGTGTGTGTGTGTGTGTGCGTGTGTGCGTGTGCGTGTGTGTGTGTGTGTCGGATACAGACTCAACTACAAGCGAGCAGCAGCCGGCACAGCAAGCACGCGGTGCCCTCAGACAACGCACTTTGAGGTGAGGGGCTCCTCGAGCAGGGAGCACGCATCAGCGGGAAGCTCAAACTGGCGGGTGGTCCACAGCTGCTTGGCGTATGCAGCAACATCCTCTTCGGGGTCGTGCGTGGCCACCCAGATGACGGTGGCGTTGCGGTCGTCAAGTTCAAACGGAAGCAGCAGCAGCGACTGCATCACAGCAGACCGCTGCCATGGGCTCTCGCTGTCGTACGCGTCAAACAGCACATCCGTCTCCTTGGCCGTGACCTAAAGGCGCACACGTGATGGTGAAGATGCGGTGTATCAGATAAACCGCTGACATCCACAATGGCCGTCGAAACGCCCTTGTGCCGCAGTGTGTGTGTGTGTCTGTCTGTCTGTCTGTCTCTGTCTGTCTGTCTGTGTCTGTGCCTGTGTATGTGTCTGTGTGTGTGTGTGCGTGTGTGCGTGTGTGTGTCTGTCTGTCTGTCTGTCTGTCTGTCTGTCTGTCTGTCTGTCTGTCTGTCTGTCTGTCTGTCTGTCTGTCTGTCTGTCTGTCTGTCTGTCTGTCTGTCTGTCTGTCTGTCTGTCTGTCTGTCTGTGTGTATGTGTCTGTCTGTCTGTGTCACCACCAACACGCATGTGCATGTGCCTGCGTCTATGTGGTCTACGCACCTCGACGTCTGCTGCTGCAGCCTGCATGTGCTTTGCAAAGGCAACCATCATGATGCCTGCCTGGTGCGCAATGCGCGAGTGGTTTCGCATTACCTCAACCAGCAGCGACAGCACCTGCGCAGCCACCAGCAAACCCACAAACACAAACGGTGAGGATTGAAATGAAACACGTCATGAATCGCACACGTGCTTTTGACGCGACACCACACACACACACACACACATGCAACACACACTGGCATGCAGTCAACACACAGTCACACGCACACAGGGCACACTCAATTACACACACAAACTCATTCACACACACACACGCACATGCACACACACAAACACAAAAGCAACACCCGACACCACAACGATCAAAACGAGCCAGCGCTGAACAAAAGCCGGTAGCGGCGGGCTTACCTTGAAGCGTGCGATGAGGCCCGAGGCGCCGAGGTGGGCGTGCTCGCCAAGGAACACCATGGCATCCTCCCGCGTCGAGTCCTTCAGCTCGGGGGAGCTCATCACCTGCGCCATGAGCGGCAGCAGGTACGACATGCCCACGTCGTCGACGCGGTGGTGCTCGTCTGTCACAACATGCGAGAGTGTGTAAGCCAGTGTGTGTGTGTGTGTGTGTGTGTGTGTGCATGCGTGCGGGTGTACATGTGAGTGAGTGTGTGTGCATGTGTGTGATTGCAAGCCAGTGTGCGTGCGTATGTGTGTGCATGCGTGCGGGTGTACATGTGAGTGAGTGAGTGTGCGTGCATGTGTGTGTGTTTGTAAGCCAGTGTGCGTGCATGTGTGTGTGTGTGTGTGATTGCGTGACCACTTCACGAATGGGAGGGCAGCGGCGTCATCCCGAGCACACCCCTCCTCCACCCTCTCCATCCCCTCCATCCACGTCCATCCCCCCCCCTCTCCACACCCCACAAACGCTCACCGTGTGCAATGTGCAAAAGGTCGCGCAGGAGGCGAACGGTGAGCGTGGTGACGCTCGTCTCCTCCCATTCCGCAGGCAGCGGCGCCTTGCTGCCGGACAGCCGAATCGTGGCAATTGCAAGGTCCCGCGCCTCGTCTGCCCGCACAAACTGCCGCAGCACGGCGCTGAGCTTGACAAACGCAGCAGCGGCACGGGGACCGGCCAGCGCTGACATCTTCACCGCGCGCAGCAGCGACGACACGAGCGCAGGCACGCTCGGGCCGAGGGCGCGCACGTTGCCGCGCAGCAGGCCCTCCAGCGTGGCAAACACGGTGAAGAGCTGCTGGTCAAGCGCGCGCAGCTTCTTGCGCTTCTCAGACTCTGCCTTGAGCGTCTTGTTCTTGAGCTCGAGGTGGTGCTTGCTGAGCTTCGGGCCGCTATCCAGGGACTTGCCCTTCTTCTTCGCAAGCTCCTTGCGCACCTCCATCTCCCACTTGAGGTCGGCGTACCCCTTCTGGTTCTTGCGCGGCTGCTCCTCCGCCTTTGGCAGGAACGACGTGTCGTACAGCTCCCCCTCGGGCGTGTTCAAAATGCCCACGTCGTCCATGGTTGTCGACAGCAGGGCGGGCTGGCCGAGCGCTGTCAGCACGCGCTGCACCAGCTGCTGCCGCACGGCGCCAAATGTCGGCAGCTGCGTCAGCGAGCGCAGCATGTTGCGCACGGCCTCCACCTTGTCCTCGGCATCTGCGGTGTCGTAGCAGTCCGTGACCGTGTTGCTGATGAGGTTCAGAACGTCGTCGCCCTTCTCCTCGACATAGCGCGTCACGTCATACAGTCGCTGCCCAACCTGCCGCACAAGATCGGACTTGAGCTCCGCCACGTGTGGGTGGTGTGCGTTGAGCAGCAGCGCGTGCAGCAGGCGCCTGTTCTCGTCCTCGGGCGAGATGGGCGTGCGCGACGCAATGGCCAGCAGCGACGTCATGTACGCCGTGGTCGCCGAGCACAGGAACGGCACGCGCTCGCCAGCGGGCAGCCCCGTGTGGCGGCGGTACGCAGCGCGCATGCAGGTGAAGTGCGCAGCGGCCAGGGACAGGGCAGCGCCGATAGAGATGGACTGCAGGTGGGGCGCCACGGCTGTGTGCACAGCGCGCCGGGTACGGGAGCACGGGTGGTCGCACATCACGCTGATCAGCACACGCGCCCAGTGCCTGGAGATGAGTTGTGTGTGTGTGTGTGTGTGTGTGTGTGTGTGTGTGTGTGTGTGTGTGTGTGTGTGTGTGACAGCGTGCATGCGTGTGTACGTGCGTGTGTGTACGTGCGTGTACGTGCGTGTATGTATGTGTACGTGTGAGTGTGTGTGTGTGTGTGTACACGTGCGTGAGTGCGCGAAAAAGAGGGCGTAACAGCAAAGCTTCACACACACACACACACACTAAAATCGCAGAGCAGGCGATGTGGGCTGACGCCAGCAACAAGACCAGCATCGTACAGATCGGGGCGGGGCTCGTCGGCGTAGAACGTCTCCAGCGCGCGGCAGCAGAGCGTGGCAACGCAGATGGCGTCTGCAGGGCGGGGTAACAACAACAACCAACAACATGTCATGATGGTGGACGAGGTGTGATGGTGGCAGCAATTACATCGTGATTGCCAAGACAGGGCAAGTGCAGCAGCACGTGCGCGGGGCAGATTGAGCCGACAGGCGGAAGTGGTGCATGCACTCACACACGTACACACAATGTTCACACTCACATGCACATGTACACACGAATGTTCACACTCACACACGTACACACACACGCGCGCACACACACACACTCACACACGCGCGTGTACACACGAATGCTCACACTCACACACGCACCCTCGCGCGTGCATTCGGAGACGAGGCGGTCGTTGAACACATTCCCGCCGTTGAGTTTGGCCCACACGCCGCCGCCAGACTGCAGGGACGAGACTGTGCAGTCACACGGGTGGTGGCTGGTGAGAAGAAGCGAGATGTGGCAATGTGTTGGACGCAGTGTGCACGCAGAGCAATGGTGTGCACGCAGAGCAATGGTGGGCAACAATCACCGGAACAAATCCTGCAGCAGAAAACACACGCTCATACTTACACAGCTCCTCGTTGGTCTCTGCGTGCTTGAAGTAGATGAGGGCAGCATATGCGGCCTCGGCCTGCCCATGCCACGACAGCTCCTGCAAATGACAGCAGTGGGGCGTGTGAGGTGAGGCGAAGAACAAGGCGATGATCACGTCGTGGAGAAGGCGGGCGCAAGCCAATGACACACCACGCGCACAATCAAACCACCGCACAAGCAAACAGGAGTGGCACACACACACATGATCACATTATCTCACCCTCACCTGCATACACACACATATGATCACATTATCTCACCCTCACCCGCACACACACACACACATGATCACATTATCTCACCCTCACCCGCATACATACACACACACATGATCACACCTCACATGCACACACCCGTACACACACGTGCGTGCTCACACCTGCTTTGGCGCTGCGGAAATTGACTTTTCGAGGAGGGGCAGGAATTCGCCTGCGGCCTCAAATGCGTCCGTGAAGTGGGCGAGGGCAGCGCGCATCACAAACACGCGCGTGGCGGCCGTCGTCTTGGCGTTGCTCAGCGATTTCTGCAGTGAGCAGTCAACACACACACACACATATATACAGAGCATCAATGATGAGCTTGATGTCCTACTGAACGCACATCCACATCCACACACCGCAGCACACATCATAACACCACCACATGACCATATTCACCTCGCGGTGCGCACCTTGAGGAACGCAGTGACCTCCGGCAAGATCTGGGCGTCCGCTGCAAGTACATCATCCATGATGCACAGCATGTGCTGCTTCGTCGGCTCGTGGGACTCCTGTGGTCAACAGCAGCAGAGCATGTGGTGCGGTCAGGTGCACATTGGGATATATGTAAAGGAATGAGTTCAATGGAAAGTGCCTTGTTGTGTGTGTATGTGTGTGTGTGCGCGCGTGTGTGCGTTTGTGCGTGTGTACGGCTTTGAGTGTGTTTCCCCATCTCTCTTTCTCCCCTCCCTGCGTTCCTCCCCCTCTGCCTCCCTCTCTCGTGTGTGCTGCTGACCTTCTCGAAGAGAGGAATGAGACCGGTAAGGACAAGCTGTCGCAGCTCACGTCGCTCCTCCGCTGTAAACACGTCAAGCACGTCAGAAGAAGAAGATGCCATGATGGCATGTGAGCAATGGTGACATACACGAACCCAAACCAGGTGAAACTGACAACCACGCTCCATAGCCTGGCGTCGTGTGAGCACGTCACGTGGTGGTGATGATAATTGAGGTGGTTGGTGATGGTGGTTGGTGGTTGGTGGTGGTGGTTGGTGGTGGTGGTTGGTGGTGGTGGTTGGTGGTGGTGGTTGGTGGTTGGTGGTGGTGGTGTGTTCGCACCCGGGCCCTTGATGTCCTTGACGGTGGAGAGGACGGATGCTGCGTTGTAGCGCTGCTCCCACTGCGTCACCTGCCCGTGGTTGCCCTTGATCACAGCGAGAATGTGGCTCGCAAACTCCTTCTGCGTTTCAAGCTTCCCGCAGCACGCAAACAATGCTGTTGCCGTCCATCGAGGCAGCAGAACACGATGCACGGTGTGAGTCATACTTCATGTGGCAGTTGAAACAACCAGGCAACAAGGTGCACACACACGACAACAGGATGGGTGTGGGTGTGGGTGTGTGTCTGTGGGTGTGGGTGTGGGTGTGTTCTGTATATCTGTGTGTGTGTGTCTGTTTGTGTGTCTGTTTGTGTGTCTGTTTGTGTGTCTGTTTGTGTGTCTGTGTTGTGTGCGTGCACACATCGCCTGCGCTTTCAACATGTGTGCTCACCGGCGGCTGTTTTGAGGGCATCGCTGCGGATGTCGGCGTTTGTGTTGATGAGCGAGGGCGTGAGCAGCTTGAGCAGTTCCATGGCGTCCGCGTCCATGTGGCGCGTCGTCTCCTGCAGAATCGCAGCAAGCACTGCACACGACACCGCGTCAATACGAAACAAGACGTGAGGCAGTGATCAATACCGTGGCACACAAGCGCACGCTCACACACGTGCACACATGCATGCGAACACACATGCATGTGCGCCCATGTGTGTGTGTGTGTGTGTGTCTGTGCGTCTGTGTGTCTGTGCGTCTGTGCGTCTGTGTGTGTGTGCATCTGTGTTTGTGTGTGTGTGTGTGTGTGTGTGCACCTGGGAGGGCCTTCTCTGCCTGGCGCTTGATGACGCGGGTCATGTCCTCTGCCAGCTCCTCAATCGGCAGCACTGCAATCAGTGGTTTGAACGTATCCTGCCAACGACCACAGCAACGATAATAGCAACACTGGGGGTGAGCACAACACAACAGGTGTACACGTACACATCTGCACGATTCCTCCGTGCCTCTCTCCCTTCCTCTCCGCCGCTCTGCGACCCTCCTTCATACCAGCCAGCCCGAATCCCACCACACACAAATCCCCCACACCATCCTACGCTATCCCTCACGCGTCATGCATCGCGCCACGCACCAGCAGGGTCTTGCTCGGCCGCTCCTTGGGCAGGATAAGCTTGAGGGCAACTTGGTCCAGGAAGTCGATGTGGTGCTTGTCGAGCTGGCGCTGGAAATCCTCGTTGTCCCGCACAGCAATGCACATGGTGCACATGAGCGAAATATTCGTCGTGGGGCGCATCGCCGACTCAAACGTCACGTGCTCAATAATCACGGGGTACTGGTGAGAGGGGCGGATGAGGTGCCGTGAAGGGCAAAGGGTCATGGTCATGGTGATGGTCATGGTGATGATGATGGTGATGGTGATGATGATGATGATGGTGGTGATGGTGATGGTGAGGATGATGATGATGATGGTGATGGTGAGGGTGAGGATACGAGTGAGGGTGAGGAGAACTGGAACATACATCAACATGCCCCAAGCCCTGCATCGCCCACATGATCACAACAACACAATCATCACAATCACACAATCACACAATTCGCATATGCGCCGTGGGTAGCGCGGCACCTTGATGAGGAGGCGCCTGAGGCCGCGGACGAGGGCCCGCGCCTTGGCCGACGTGTCGTGCAGAGCAGCATCGTAGCAGTGCATCAACGCAAACTGCACACACAGGATAACAAGGTGGGAAGGGTAAGTCAGGATTGGTTGTGTGTATGTGTGTGTGTGTGTGCGTGCGTGCGTGCGTGTGTGTGCGTGTATGTCTGTGTGTGTGCGTGTATGTCTGTGTGCGTGTATGTCTGTGTCTGTATGTGTGCCTGTAACTATCACTGTCTGTATATGCATGTGCGTGCGTGTATGCGTAAACACATATCTGTGTGTGTGTGTGTGTGTGGCGAAGAGAATCTATCAATCAGGTGGTGTTGTGCGCCATGGTGCGTGCAAGCAAGACGATGGCATATCATGCGTGTTATCTCGTGTACATGCATGCATGCATGCGCGTCACACGCACCACTTGACGGTCGGTCTCCTTGAAGAACATTGTCAAGTCCGTCGTGGCCGTGTGCTCGATGGTGGCCTCCAAGAAGCGGGCAAACATGATGTTCGTCCACTTCACATGCGTGTGCCTAACAGCAAACAGCGAGTACACGCACAGACGAGATCAGTCAAGCATGCGCGTGTGCTGGGGAGGGCAGAGAGAGAGAGAGAGGACAGGCTGCTTTGTGTTGGTGTGTGTGCGTGTGTGCACGTGGAGGCCCTTGATCATCGTACATGTGCTTGTTCTCTCTCCGAGGTTGTGGTGGGTTGTAGGTGCATGTTCGATCATCAGTATGCCAGCGCAGGTGCGGCACTGCAGGAGATGCACTTACGAGCACAGGCGGGGCATGAAGTAGTTGGCGCTGATCAAGAACCCAAAGGCAGAGTTCAGTGGACTCCTACACTCCAGCAAAGCACGCAGATGGGCGCATGGGCGCGTGAGCACGCAGAAAGCTAGCAACCATGTGCATTCGAAACAATTATATCACTGCACACGACACACACGCGACACACACGACACACGCGACGCACACGACGCACACGAGACATGTACTTTGTGAGGAAGAGTTTGTACGCCTTCATGATGGCTTCTTGCAGAAGGTTCATCGGGTTGCGCTCTGCATTGGCGATGAGCAGCTGCAAATCAGGACAGATGGCAAGTGTGAGCACATCAAGTGAAAACGAGGAGTCGCTGTAGCTGCGAACACACACGCACGCGTGCGCAGAGAGCAAGGCTGGAGTCGTGCATCTCGCAAACATAATCCAACGCAACCAACATAGACCAAACGTGAGCTCTCACCGAGACAATTGAGCTGCACAGAGGAAGTGGGAGCTCTGTGCCGTCCATCTCCGTCAGCATCTCTGCAAACGACCAGATCACAAAGGCAAAACCAGTCAGTGTCGCGTACGAGGGCAGAAACCATTGGGGAGTGTATGAACAGCGCATCAGGACGAAGCACGAGCAGCGGATGAAGGGTATCGCTCACACATACGCCACAGCGCGTCCAGCAAGTACTGCTCATGCACAGCACGCACAGCAAACTCAGCACACATGAGATGACACACGTCCACAGCACACACAAGCCTGACCTGGGCCCCAGAGGCTGATGGCGTGCTCCACTTGCTGCAGAAGGGCGAGGCGCTCGTGCATGCTGCCGCGGCAGTTGTACGCCTCAACAGCAAGCTCCTCCGCACGTGTCATTTCGCCAACAGGCACAACGGCACCTGGCTGTGGTGCGACCTGCGCGGCACTGGCGCTTGCCGTCTCATCGTGGGCTGCTGCGGAAGCAGTGGACGCCGGCTTCTTGGCCTTCTTGGCCTTTCTCTCCTTCTTCTTCTTGTCTGCTTTGTCTGCCATTGCTGCTGTAGCTAGTGCAGGTGGCAGTCGTTGTCCTCAAAGATGACCGACAGGCAGGCAAGGGGACTGATGGGAGTGCTCTTGCTCGATGCGATGCAAAGCAGGTGGGTGGTTGATGGCAGTGTCGTCTTGTCTTCGCTTTTTGCTCTGCTCGTAATAACACCTTGCCTCGGTGGCGCTGTTTGTGGTGTCTTCTTCGGGTTGTAATCTACGATTCGCACAAAACGCAGCGCAAAAGTTGACTATCCACCGCACACCCACGTGTTTGTGCAAACGCCAAAGTGCGTCCTTCGCTGTGTGTGTGTGTGTGTGTGTGTGTGTGTGTGTGTGTGTGTGTGTGTGTGTGTGTGTGTGTGTGTGTGTGTGTGTGTCTGTGTGTGTGTGTGTGTGTCTGTGTGTGTGTGTGTGTCTGTGTGTGTGTGTCTGTGTGTGTGTCTGTGTGTCTGTGTGTCTGTGTCTGTGTCTGTGTGTGTGTGTGTGTGTGTGTGAACGGGAACAGAGCGCCAGGCCGCTGCTTGTCGCTAAACGTGTTGCTGAGGCGTGCTTGATGTTGTTACGCGTGTTACGCGATGGCCTTTGTCTTGGACAGGAACTCACAGGGGGTCCTGCAAACGAGAAGACACACAATGCACAACGCACAACGCACACGTGCGTGTCAGCGCACGACGACAGCACATGACGACATTGACCTCCCTGTCACACACAGGCACGATACGCTGCACACCATGCAACGCCAATGTAATGGATCAGATCAATGTGTACGCACCAGCCCTCGCGCGTCCCGTTGGAGCAGAACCACCAGCCGTCCGCCCTCTCAATCACCTCAACAACCTCGTCAATCTACATCCGAAAGCAAGAAGAACCCCATAGCGAGACAGTGAGAATCAGCGGGAATTAGCGAGAGACAGTGAGTCAGCGAGAGGCAGTCAGAGGCAGTGAGAGACACAGAGAGAGAGAGAGACAAGTGTATGAGAACCGATCGAGCAGGACGGGTGCAGCACAACGATGCATTGATGCAGGGCGTATGACACAGGACAAAGAAAAGAGTTTCGTACAAGTGTGCAACGCATCCACCACGAGCACCCACGTGCACACACCTGAACTGAAAGCTCGCCATCCGTCTCAGCCTTGTGGTTCTCAATCACATAAAACTCGCTCTCCTTCAACGACCTGTGTCACCGCCGTACACGCAGGAACACGTATGAGCAACAGCCACAAACCACACATGCACACACGCATGCACACACGTGCACACGCGCAATCCCCCGCCCAAACACGCACACACACAAGCACAAACTCAGGAACATGGGTACAAACCTGTTTGTGGGCTTGGTTGGAAGAGCAGGGCGTGCTGGCTTCACGGCCGGCGGTTTGGGCTTTGGCGGCGCCTGTGCTGACGACGACGAAGACGACGATGTCAGTGAGGATGAGGACTTTTTCTTGAGCAAGTCGGATGGCGCCCAGCCCTCCTGGCCCGTGCTCTTCTTGACAAACCACCAGCCCGTATCAGATTCCTCCAACAGCTCCACAACTTCCCCTGTATCACGCGTAGACGTGTGTGTGTGTGTGTGTGTGTGTGTGTGTGTGTGTGTGTGTGTGTGTGTGTGTGTGTGTGTGTGTGTGTGTGTGTGTGTGTGTGTGTGTGTGTGTGAGGTAGGAACAAGTTTTGTTGAAACACAATGACACCAATCTTCGACTGGCAAGCCATAACCCACGTATGCCACACCACACCCAAGCTCAAACCTCACCTTTGTTGACAGAGACAGCTGACTCGTTGTCGGCCGTGTAAGCCTCCATCACCTCGTACGCCCTCCCTGCCGCCACTGCCGACGACGGTGGCGATGGCTGCGGCTTCTCTGGTCGTGGTGGTCCCGCCTTCGTGCCTGTTCGCGGGCGTGCTGCCACACTTGGCCGTGTCGCCACACTTGGGCGCGGCTTTGGTGCTGTGGACACGGTGGGGCGTGTTGCCAGCGAGGGGCGCGCGGGCTTGGGCGGGCCCGCAGGCTTGCTGGTGGCAGACTTGGCAAACAGGCTCGCCAGCTCTTTTTTCGCGTCAGACACGTTATTGGACGCCAGCGGCGACGACGACGATGCAGCGGTCGCGCCCCTCCCACCGTTATTGTTGCTGTGATTGTTGCTGCTGACTCCTGTGGACATGGAGGGGCGTGTTGGCCGCGCTGGAGCAGCGGTGGGCCGGCGATCGGGCTTGGATGACGATGACAATGGTGCTGGTGCTGGTGCTGGTGATGATGATGGTGGCGGTGCCCCTGACACAGGCCGAAGCATGTCTGTTGGTGCCCACCCTTCCTGCTGGCCATATTGCACATACGACCAGCCTGTGCATGGTGTGTGTGTGTGTGTGTGTGTGTGTGTGTGTGTGTGTGTGTGTGTGTGTGTGTGTGTGTGTGTGTGTAAGAGAGAGAGGGGGGCGGGGACGCGTGTGGGCAAAGTAAATGAAACCACAGAGCAGTAAACCACAACACATACAAGCACAGATCACACCCGAAGCACGCGCGCACATACATGCAAGCGACGCGAACCTGAGTCTGATGTCTCGAGAAGCGAAACCTTTGCGCCCTTTGGTAATGCAATGCCAGCATCACCCTCCTTCTCAACAGCCTCCTCTGCAACAAGCACCTTGTTGTTGCTGCCACCGCCGTTGCTGTTGTGGGTGGCGGCAACAGAGGGAGCAGCGGGGCGCGGTGGCTTGGTTGATGATGATGATGACGATGGTGATGGTGATGATGATGGAGCGAGGGTTGGTTTGCGTGGTCGCGCTGGCTGCGCTGGCTTGCTTGGTCGGCGCTCGTTGCCGCCAGGTGCTTGCTGCTGCTGTTGTTGTTGTTGTTGAGTTGGCGAGAATGTATGCGTGAGTGAGTGTGTGGGTTTTTTGCATGTGTGTGCATGTGTGTGTGTGTGTGTGTCAGCGTACGTGTGTGTGTGTGTGTGTGTGTGTGTGTGTGTGTGTGCACGTGCGCCAGCGTACGTGCATGTGCAGTCGCACGACAACATGCACCACGTCTCGCTGTGCATGCCCACCTTCTTGAGCAGTTTCCCGAGGTGGCCAAAGGGGCCCTTCTCGCCGTGGATGCTGACGGGCCGCGCAATGCTCTCCTGCACAGTGCAGCACACGGCAACCAAGATGGCGCAGTGTGAATGCAGGGGAGGGGTGCATGTGGTGCGCACGTCAATTGAGCAGCAATGATGGAACAATGATGGACGCGACACGGTGGTGCGCTACAAAACCACGCACGAGTCCGCAACCTCTTCCTCCAACCGCACAGAGGCATACAAACACAAACACAAACACAAAACACAAAACACACACACACACACACACAATACAAGCCATCCACAATTCACGCGCATTCACACTCGGGCACTCGGGCACTCGGGCACTCGGGCACGTACGCGGCGGGGCGGGGGCGCCTTGCTGTTGGTGCGGGGGCGACGACGCACGACTTCGTTGTGGGATGCCGTGTCGCCGTCTTCAAGCAGACCCGTGGGCACATACTCCTGCACCTGGTGATGAGGGGAGAGGAGGGTAATGTGAGGGCGCTCCAAGAACACATGCGCACACGGACCTTCCAAGAACACATGCGCACACGGACCCTCCAAGAACACATGTGCACACGGGCCCTCCAACAACACATGCGCTCACGGACGCACGCACATCCACAAAAGATGCCTGCTGACACCCTTTCCACCGCTCACCATTGCAGCCATCACACACAACACTGTCACCACCACCAGACCTCGAGGCGGCGGAGGTAGGAGCCGGGGGTCCAGCCAACATTGCCTTGATACGACACCTGCACACGTGATGGGCGATGGAAGACAGCACACACGCACACACACGCACACACGCACACACGCACGCACGCACGCACACACACACACACACATACACACAGAGGAGGTGTGGGATACGGGATGGAGCGGTAGCATGATGGTCCACGCGAATGCATAGCATTTGTTGAACTACGTATATCATTGCCAAGTAAGCAACAGAAGCGAGGCAGTGCAACAAGGCCCATGTCAATTCCACGCTCTGTGCGTGTGCGTGTGTGCGTGTGTGTAAAATATTTACATATATGTCCAAGCGGGATCACCGCACCTTCCACCATCCGTCGAGTTTCTTCTCAAGCACAGTGACGACAGCGCCCTTGTCGTATCCAATCTCGTCCTCGTTCTCCGCCCGGAACGCCTGTGTCGAGATGTACTTCTCATCTGTGGCCATGGTGGTGATGGTGGCGATGGGTGATGGTGGTGGATGAGATGATGCGAATGCGAATACAATGCTGGTGTGACGGCACGACACGGGTGATTGTGTTGCATAGACGACCAAAACAACCACAGCCACAACATCAACTCCTCGTCCACATCACCAACATCAACATCACCACACCACACCACGCCACACCACATCACCACACTGCACCACACTGCACCTTTCGCTGGGACGGCTGCGCCGTGCTGCTCCTCATTCTCTGGATCTGCACGGCAGTGGTAGGAACGCCATCAAGGGGACACATTGAACGTCAGTGGTGGTGGTGGCGGTGGTGGTGGTGGTTTGTGTTCTCGCTTTGGTCGTTGGTGTCTCCAACATGCAATGCGTCCCCACACGCCAGCGTACAATATACACATCACGCTGACTAACGCCACCCTCACGTCACATACACAGGCACAGCCATACGTGCAAGTGTGCGGGAACAAAGTTCTCATCACGCTCAACAACAACAACAGCGGCCACTCACTCTCGAGCGGCTCCAGGAACGTGGCGGGGACCCAGCCCTGCGTGTCTGCGTCCTTGGTGACAAACCACCACCCTGCAACAACGAAAGGCAATGTTGGATGGATGGATGGATGGATGGATGGATGGATGGATGGATGGATGGATGGATGGATGGATGGATGGATGGATGGGTAAGTCACAAACCAACCTGACGTGTACATATAGTGCGTGCAGGTTGGAAGATACTGAGGTTGTTGAAAAGACTGTGGCGCACATACACACACCCGAAACAACAACGTAACAATCAACAACAACGACAACAACATGTATCACCACCACCATCATCACTATTGGCTCACCGTTGTCGTTCTTCTCGACGACGTCAAACACATCGCCGCAGGCAAAGGTGAGCTCGTTCTTGTCCTGTTTCCTGTAGTCCGCAACCGCGCGGTACTGCTCGAGTGACATCACTACAGGGGAACAACGCCGAGGCAGCATGGTGTGCCGTCGTGTGGTGGTTGATGGGGTGAGCACTGACGATAGTGCATCTGTTGCGCGCACAACACAGCACACGCACTACACACGAAAGAGAGACAGACAGACAGACAGACAGACAGACAGACAGACAGACAGACAGACAGACAGACAGACAGAGCACTTGCATACTTGCATTCAGAGAGCATGAGACGCCAAGAGGCACACCACACAATCACATAGTCACACAGCACTACACACACACACCACACGAGGAGTAACAACATCCACGCCCACAGCGCAAGTACGCCACTCAACAAACGCGTGCGCTTACCTTCGCCAATCTCCATTTCCTTGCCGTTGTCACTGTCCTTAGTGTCTGTGGAGATCATGCGCTTGAGCAGCGACGGCGGTTTCCGCTCGCGTTCGCCTTGTGATGGCGGCTTGATGTCCGTGGACGCGGCATCAAAGAACTCCAGCACCCAGCTGCTGGTGGTGATCTTGGAGGGCAGCTTGATCAAGGCCTTGAGGTACTCTGCAAGGGTTCTCGCGCGGCTCACAGCCACCTTGTGCGTATGACTGCGCCCAAACAGCTTCTTGCCTGTCGCGCGCACAATCCAATATTGTGTGTGTGTGTGTATGAGTGTAGGTGTAGGTGTGTGTGTGTGTGTGTGTGTGTATGGGTGTAGGTGTAGGTGTGCACGTGTGTGTGTGTGTGCCACGGAGAGAATGAGCACCAACTAAAGGTGACAGTGACAAAGAAAGAGAGGGAGCAAGGCACGCACAAACACACACACACGCACAAACACACACACGCACACATACGCACACACAAACGCACACACATACGCACACACATACGCACACACACATACACACACAAACATACACAAAACACGCAGCTGCACATGTCTGACCGGGAAGGAAGGGGAGAATGCGCGGTGGTCCAGCCGGGTCTGTGCCCGCCTCCACCGGGAACTTGTCCAGCAGGGTTGTCTATGGAACCCACGAACGCGGAATGAGGGTGGAACATGGTGGGATGAGGAGGTCCGCCGTACAAGCAAGGTTGGTTGAACAAGCACGAGAGAGGGAAGGAGCTTTGGTCACATCGACCCACCCACAAACCCCCATACATACGTGCATCTCGAAGAACTGGCTGTATCGGCGGTAGATTGTGACCTGGGAACCATCGCTCCATGACACCTGGATGACATACACCTGCCAGCAACACACACACAAACACACACGCGCGCGCGCATGAGTTGCAGCGCGTCTTCACAACCTTCCGTGACACACAACCCTCCACACTATGCACTTGCTTTCTGCCCTTCTGCCCTTCAGTTCTTGTACCCACGCGAATACACACACCCAACACACACGCCCCCACACAACGATCACACCCATCACACTCCCTCCCTGACCTACATAGTGCTTTGAAGGCGTGCGACGCCGCTGCACGTCGACCAACTCAACACCAACCACCGTCCGCATCTCTCTCGTCTGGCCGAGCTGCGCTGAGCTGAGCTGGCGTGTTGTTGTTGTTGTTGTTGTTGTGTGGAAATTCCTCTCTCTCTCTCTCTCTCTCTCTCTCTCTCTCTCTCTCTTGTTTGTGGAGTGTTGTCCTTCTCTCCCTTTCCCTTGCTTACCACACTGATGATGATGGCTGCAGGACGTGTGCTTGTTGCTGCGGGCGTGGTGCTGCTGGCCCTTGCAGTGGCTGCAGACGCCTCCACCACGTTTCCCCTCTTCAAGCAGTGTGACAAACGATGGGGCAACGATACCATGGGCGTGCCAGGTTCGGTTTGTGTGTGTGTGTGTGTGTGTGTGTGTGTGTGTGTGTGTGTGTGTGTGTGTGTGTGTGTGTGTGTGTGTGTGTGTGTGTGTGTGTCTGTCTGTGTCTGTGTCTGTGTCTGTGGCTGTGTGTCTGTGTCTGTGTCTGTGTCTGTGTCTGTGTCTGTGTGTCTGTGTCTCTCTCTGCCTCTCCGTCTCTCCCCCTCTCCGCCTCTCTGCCTCTACACCTCTCTGCCTCCTCGCCTCTCTACACCTCTACACCTCCACACCTCTACACCTCTACACCTCTACACCTCTGCCTCCCTGTCTCGATGCATCCTCACACGCAACGACAATAACCGCCTCCCCTTCCCGTTCCGCCAATCACACGCTCAGGCCCCGGTGAGCAGGCCACCGTGTGTAGGGAAGGATGCGCCATGTCGTGTTTGGCCATGGCCCTGAACGGCCTGGACATCACGCTGCCAAACGGCAATGGGACTGGGAAAGGCACGCCAGCCAACCCGGGCACGCTCAACAAGTGGCTCAAGGACCACCAGCTGTACACGTGCGCTGCCGGCGACTGCAACAACCTCGTGCTCAACGCCGTGGAGGCCTTCACCAACCACCTCGAGCTCATTTCGGAGGGCTTCCCGCAGACGCGCAAGGAAGTGGAGGCCGGCATCGCCAGCACATCCTACATCTACCTGGCGCACGTGCGCGACGGCACGCACTTTGTGCTCCTCACGGGCGTGGCAAAGGACGGGCGCTTCAAGGTCAACGACCCCGGCTTCAACCAGGACACGTACGCGTGGACAGACATTGTGGACATGATCGTGTACCGCGTGGTGCCGCCTGCCCAGCGCGCTCAGCAGCGCACCCCGCTGGCGTATCCGCTGTTCAAGCAGTGCAACGCGTCGTGGGGCAGCGACGTCATGGTGCACGAGACCATCTGCCAGGTGGGCTGCCTCATGAGCTCCGTCTCCATGGGTCTGCGCGGGCACAGCGTGCTGGTCGCCGGCACGCCGAGCAACCCGGGCGTGCTCAACGCGTGGTTGCGCAAGCACGGCGGCTACAACGACCAGGATGACCTGAACGAGGCTGCCCTTGACGCCATCAACACCACCTCCAAGATCTGGCCTGCGGACGGCATGCACACGTCCAACGACCTGGACCCGTACACCATCCGCGCCTTTATGCTGCAAGGGCGCTCCGTTGTTGTGAATGTCATGCACGGAAGGCACTTTGTGCTGGCCACGGGCTGGCTGTACAACAGCAGTGACCCGATCCTGGTCAACGACCCCGGCTTCAACACCACCGCCTACTCGCACGCCAACGACGCCGTCGGCTACCGCATCTTTGACTTTGCCGACCACTGGCCCCGCAACTGATGAATGTGCTGGCAGCTGTGGTGTGTAGTTGTGTGTGTGTGTGCGTGTGTGTGTGTGTGTGTGTGTGTGTGTGTGTGTGTGTGTGTGTGTGTGTGTGTGTGTAGTTGTGTGTGTGTGTGTGCCTGTCTGCACGAGTGCGTAGCTGCATTTCTGTTGTCCCCATTGCTCTTCATGCGTTACAACATGCTTCCACTGCCTTGATGATCAATGAACAGCAGTGCTCTTCCACCATAGATCACGCAGTGAAGTCGTCATTGTAAAGGAGTGGCTGTGAAGGAGTCACTGCAACACACACATACACATGCACACGTGCACACATGCACACACACATGCACACGTGCACACATGCACACACACACATGCACATCCACGCACACACATGCACACACATACACATCCACGCACACACACATCACGGTGCTGGGCTTGGCAACCGAGAACTGCCGCAATGTACGATTCTCGTCTGTTTTGTGTGCTTAGTGCGCATTATTTTTTGGGCGGTGGATACGTTGCTAGCGGCGCAAACAACCAAACAAACTGAGCGAGTGAGTGAGCGGAACAGAGCACACCGCGACGTGGTTGCTGAGCACAGCCAAGCAGCTCCCACAGACAACGCACACAGCACCACACAGCGCACAGCGCACCACACACAGCACAGACACACACACAGCACACACACACACCATGTCGAAGAAAGGAAAGAAGAGTGGGGGAAAGCGCACGGCGGTAGAGTCGGAGACGAGCAGCTCTTCGCAGCCGCCAGCAGCCATCACCGCTTTGGACATCAACAGCGCAGATGATGGCTGGACAACGTTCCCCGTGCTGCTGCACAGCGCGGCCTCGTACAGCACAAAGTACGTTGAGCAAGCGCTTGCCGTGGCGCAGAAGGGCCAGCGCCGCAGGTTCCACGTGGCCACGCACGCAGACATTGAGCACCTGGTCAAGGAAGCGGCCAAGGCCAAGGGCAAGAGCAAGGATCCCCAGCAAGCCATGGTCTTCGAAGCGTGCGCCACCGCCATGGAGAACGGCCAGCTCACCAGTCGCGGCGCAGCCACGGTCATCGCCGCCAAGATGCTGGCTGCGAAGAAGACCGAGCAGCAGCGCCGCGAAGACCAAGAAGCCGCGCGCCGAGCAGCCCTCTCAGTACGTCCACACACACACACACACACACACACACACACACACACACACACACACACACACACACACACACACACACACACGCGCGCGCGCGCGCGCACCATGGCGGATCATGACTCACTGCAACAATGCTCACACAAACACGCACCTCGCACCTCGCACATGCACCCCACACTCTCTTGTCAATGCAGACACCCAAGGCTGAGGAGGGTGGCTCGCGGTCCAAGACGCCATCAAAGGCTGCGGGGAAGAAGAAGGGCAAAGGCGGAGGTGCAGCTGATGATGCGCCCGGCAAGAAGAAGAGCACGCTGAAGACCCGCAAGGACGAAGCGGCCATGATCGACTACATCGACGATGAGCCGCAGGAGGGTCCCGACCAGTACTGGCTCTTGCACGGCTTCTCCGACCCCATGTTCGTCAAATACATGAGCGATGCCGGCGCCAGCATCCGCGCCCTCATTGACACATCCACGGAGGACGACGAGGACGATGATGAGGAGCAGAGCAGCGCCAGTGGTAGCGCTGACACGCAGGCAGAAACAGCAAGCACGCCGATAGAGGGCACCCCACAGTCGCCCGCTGCCAAGAGGAAGGAGAAGCAACTTTCCCGCGCAACATCGCTCGCAGTACAAGATGACAAGGTACTCGATCGAGCAGCTGGGACATGCACTCTCTTACAGCGGCCGGTGCTGCTGGTGATTGCTGTGTGTCTGTGTGTCTGTGTGTGTCTGTGTGTGTGTCTGTGTCTGTCTGTCTGTCTGTGTCTGGGTCTGGGTCTGGGTCTGGGTGTCTGTGTGTCTTTTTGCTTGTTCGGGCCGCTTTTCCCCTCCTCCTCCTCCTCCTCCTCCTCCTCCTCCTCCTCACTCTACTGTCATTCACAACATGTCACACCACCCGTCATATGTCAACTACCCCCAGGATGCTGCTGCGAGTGAAACGGCCACACCGGCAGCGCCGGTGCAAGACACATTTGTGCCGCAAACGCGCGCGCTCTGCGCTGCTGCAGACCCAACATCCCACCTCCGCGACATTGCATGGCTGGTACGTGTCTGTCTGTCTGTCTGTGTGTGTGTGTGTGTGTCTGTGTGTGTCTTTCTGTGTGTCTGTCTGCCTGTGTGCATACATACGAACATGCAACATCACTCGCACGCACGTTGCACACCTACACACATGCACACATTTGCACATACTCCCTCTCCATCAACTGTCCTGTTGGTGTTCCCTGTTTCACCCAACGCAAACGCTGACATCATCCCCTCCACCAACTTAAAACACACAACACAACACAACACACACACACACACACATCACCACGGCAGACGTTTGATCTTGGGCGCGCGCCATCTGGTGCAGACACCTTTGATCGGATCGCCGCCCTCGTGTACGACGGGCTCAAGCATCACGCCCAGTACACCGCATACCTCTCCTCCCTCCGCATCTGCTCCTTGCCGGCAGCACCAGCCCGCCCACTGGCCAGCTGGCCTGTCTACCGCGCGCTCTCGTCCTCGCTGCACGCCGAGACGACACCCATTGCCGCCCTGATGGACTGCATGCTCAGGCAGGTTGAGGCCACCGTCGCCGCCTCTGCCGCAAGCACTCGCGCACAGAGCGCAGCAGGTGGGGCGCCCTGTGCTTTGTGACTCTGTGTATGTATGTATGTATGTATGTATGTATGTATGTATGTATGTATGTATGTATGTATGTATGTATGTATGTATGTATGTATAGGTATGTGTGTGCATGTGTATCTCTCTGTCTGTCTCTCTGTCTGTCTACCCTTGTCGTCCCCCGTACCTGCCTGCTTGTCATTGCATGTTGGATCTCACCACTGCACGCCACGTGTCCGCCTTGTCCTCCGTGTGCAGTTGGTGATGGCCGCGGTGCCAGCGGCGATGACGGCGAAGGTCTGGCCACGCCGTCCGCAGGCGCCAGCAGAATCGCCAGCGCAACGCCTGCTGCCGACGGTGGCGATGCTAGCGGCTGCGGCAACGCTGCGGGTGGTGTGAAGGATGCGGCGCTGGAAGCACTGCTGGATGGCCACCTGCAAGGCGTGCGCACAACTGAACACGCCAACGACAGCGTGATGCAGGACAGCTTGATGCTGGACGCATCGGTGCTCAAGGCTATTAAGGCCGACAACGACGAGACAGGTGGGCCATGCATGTGTGCTGCATGTGTTGGTGTGGTGGTGTGCAGACACGTCGGCGACATGCTGCACCTCCCGACGTGTGTGCGCAAGTGAATGGACAATGTACATGTTCCTTCCTACCAAAAATGTGCAATCAACTACACATGCACCAGTGCTGTCCACTTCTATCGACTCACCTTATCTCCGTCCCGCTCCACCCTCTCTCCATCCCTCCCTCCACCACCACCTCCACCACCTCCTCTTCGTTCTCCGCCCCTCCATCAGCTGCGCCCATTGTGATTCGCCACGGCGACGCCATCTCCTCCTCCCTCGCCCTCGCCACCGCCTCGTCTTCGGCGTACGATGCTCGGGCAGCCGCGTTTGCTGTTCTCGACGCAAGCCGCGCTGCACACTTGCTCAAGGACGTTTTCCCCCCACAGTCCACAGACACCAAGCACGCACGAGAGGTGTGTTTGTGTGCTTGCTTGCTTGCTTGCTTGCTTGCTTGCTTGCTTGCTTGCTTGCTTGCTTGCTTGCTTGCTTGCTTGCTTGCTTGCTTGCTTGCTCGCTTGCTTGCTTGCTTGCTTGCTTGCTTGCTTGCTTGCTTGCTTGATCGCTTTCTCACCGACTCAAACCCTTCCCCCCCCCCGCCCGACCCACCAACAGCTGCGGCGCCAGCAGCTGCTTAAGTTCTCGAACTCGTCCCCGCCGCAAATGGAGCGCTTTATTCTCCTTTCTGCCATGTCCTCCCTCCTCGCCGACAAAACAGGTCCGCACTTGCTTGCCCCTGCGTGTACCCATCTGCATGGAATTTGTCTGAACAAGAGTGGGGGGGGGCTTGGGTGTGCATGCGTGTGCTTGTGTGTGTGTGTGTGTGTGTGTGTGTGTGTGTGTGTGTGTGTGTGTGTGTGTGTTGTGTGTGTGTGTGTGTGTGTGAGCTCATGTGAGCTCATGTGAGCTTGTGTGAGCTTGTGTGTACGTGTCTGGTGTGGTGTGTGCTTTGGTTTATTCACCCGTACATGAGCTCTTTCATTCGTATGTACATCCTCACGTCCTTATGCGTTCACACTTGTGTGCTCCTGCCTCGCCGTGCATACCAATGGTTCAGGCACGACGGCCGACATGTGGGACTTTTCGCGCTGGAACGTGACTGAGCGCCTGCACCGTCGCTGCTTGCTGCAGTGCCTCAACGACGACATGACAACACACCTCCTCCAGCCTGCTGTACACTACTTTCCAGGTGCTTGCGTGCATGCGCTCTCTGCTGTTTTGTGTGGCACTGGTGTCAACGCGCTGTGTGGAGACGTCCCATGTCCATCTGCCACTCCCTCCTGTCGCTTCTACATCCTCTCACACTTGTGTCCACATGCTCATTTGATGCTTATGTCGCTGCGACGCCTGCAGATATGGACTGTGCGCTCGTTGCCATGCACCGCACGCCTTCCCTTGATGCCCCCACAATCAGGTACACGCGTTGTCATCGCAGCAAACCACTGCTCGCTTGCAAACTTTGAATTCAACAACTCAACACAACTTCCTCAACACGACAACCCAACTCAACACAACTTCCTCAACACAACGACTCACTCACCCACTCACACGCACTCACACACGCAAACTCACTTCGCACGCACGCACACACACACACACACACTTCGCACGCACGCACGCGCATCAGGTCGGAGTGGGGCCACCTTGCCCACACGCAAGTCGCCTTTACAGACTTCCTCGAACACACGTCCAAATGGCTGGCAGAACACGAGCAACTGGAAGAGCAGCAACAGCAACAGCGTGTTGGGTATGACTACCCGAGGCGATTGGTGCAGGTGTCGGGGCAGACGAGTGTACTGGATACGGGCGACGGCACAACGGTGCACGTCACAGAGACTGGTGCCGTGCACGGTACGCGCACGCGGCGGTGGGCGCTGCACAGGGACGGGGTGTGCGTTGCTGTGCACCAGCACGCCCGCAAGCCAAATGACACCCAATCTTCGTCTCAATCACAACAACAGCAGCAGCAGCAGCAACAACAGCAGCAGCAGACAGGGCAGGAAGCGCAGGCAAACACCCCAGCGCCAAAGCAAGATGCTGGCAGCAGCAGTGACAGCAGCCCAGCGCCAGGCCACAGCCTTGTTGTGACGATTGGGGACGCGGCTGTTGCTGTTCCGTTGAGGGTTGTGGAGGCGCTGCGAACGCGCGGGCGGTCGGAGTGGACGCCACCGCAGCCATCACACCAGCAGCAACAACAGCAGCAGGGCGACGATGACACGCTGGCGCCTGGCGGAACTGAGAGCACACGGCCGGAGAGCACGGCTGGTGATCGATCGCGAAAGGGCGGAAAGGAGCGGCCGCGCAGCCGACGCGAGGGCACCAACACGGCCAAGTCCGTGCGCATCAAGGAGCCCGAGGCAACGCGGCAGGAGAGCACCGTACCGCCCACGCGCGGCACAGACGCAGCGGCGACCGCAGCAGAGACGGAGGACGGAGGCGCCGTGACGCAAGATGGCGCTGGTGCTGACGCAACTGCAAACCGGGAGTTTGTGCCCCAACCGCTGGAGTCGCTCCTGCGTGTGAGCGCGGCCACCAACACGGGCGTGCAGGTGCTGCTGATGCCTGGCGGCGAGCTGGTGCTTCGCGAGCCACCCAAGGCCTCCCGCAATCATACAGCAACAGCAGGAACAGCAACAACAACACCCACTGCTGGCGCCGCCGCCGCCGCCACTGAGCGAACGGAGCTGAGCAGGACGGTGCTGCCTGATGGGCATGTGGCGCGGCAGATGAGCGACGGGCGCGTCGTGCTGTTCTGCCCAGACGGCACCGTGTACGACAACGTGGCCAGCGAGACAGAGTGGGAGGTGGTGTCCTTTGACGGCCACCGCCGCGTTGTGCGTGGCAGCCCGCCCGTTGTGAACAGCGAGCATGACGTGCTGGTTGTCCGCCGCATCTCCGTCCCCGAGCGCACGCCCGTACTGACGCGCGAAGACAACGCCACGCTCGTCGGCGAGCTTGAGCGCGACCACGCCGCCGAGTTTGGCGACGGCACGCGCATCGTGACCCGCTGGCTGACGTCCACCTCCAAGCTGGTGCGCGTGGAGCGACTGGGCATGCCGCCTGTTGAACTCCGCGACGATGGCGTGAGCGTGGTCATGCTGGACGGTGGGTCCACAGCTCTCGTGCACCACGCTGCAGAGGGCCGCGTGCGCGTGTGCAGCCCCGAGCGCGGGCTTGAGGTGGCGCTACGGGCGAGTGGCGAGGGCGAAGTGCGGGTTGTGGTGCCGTCGCGGTGGGACAACCTGCGAGAGGACGGGCGCGGTGTGTACGATGCCGTGATGCAGTGGTCTTCGCTGGAGCACCGGTCCAAGAGCACGTTTGACTTCATCACGGGCAGATTCCGGGCAACGGACGCCCTTGGAAGCACGCTGCGCATCACAGACATGCAGGCCGAGGTTGACATGCGGGATGAGGCGCTGACGGCGCCGCTGTCGGTCCGCTACCCGCCGCGCCTGTATGTCGTGCACCGCGACGGCACGTGCACCCGCTTCCTGCGCGAATCGGACGTGGTCGCCTACGACCAGGCCGCAACCGCCGACCCAGCCGTGGAGTGTGTGCAGCCAGAGCTGTACGACGACCCGGGCACCATGTCCCGCACATACATTGCACGCCAGAGGCCGCCAAACACCTTCCTGCAGAGCTACGAGAAGTCGTCTGTGCTCCCGCTGTCACTGCAGCGCGCACACCTCCCACATCACGACTTTGAACGCCCAGAGCAACTCCTCGTCATCAGGTGCGTGGAATAGTGATGATGATGATGATGATGATGATGATGATGATGATGATGATGATGATGATGATGATGATGATGATGATGATGATGATGATGATGATGATGTTCTTGCTGTTGCTCTTGCTGTTGTTCTTGTTCTTGTTGTTCTTGTTCTTGTTCTTGCTCTTGTTCTTGTTCTTGTGGTTGTAGAGAGTGTTTCGGCGGGTGCTTCTGGTGCTGTGTCTCACTCAATGTTTTCGGTTGTGTGTCTTGTTGCTCCTGTGCTTGCAGGCAACTGCAATTCCACCCACCCATTGGTCCCCAAGAGCAAGCAGCTATGGCATCGGATCTCCACCAATACCACCAGTGGCTCGCCAACCAGGTTGGTGATGCTGTGGTGCAGGCTGCCCCCTTCTATGTGTGCATGTGCGAGTATGCGTGTCTGTGTGTCTGTTTATCCGTTTATCCTGTGCTGTCCATGCCTGTCCGCCTGTCTGTGGTGCCAAATGCTTGTTTGTTCACTCGCGCTTCCATTGACAAAACCGCTCACCTTGAACAACAACAACGCCATGTGTTTCATATTAGGCTGCTGCCGCACAGGCGCTGGAGATTGTTGATGAACGGTCTAATATGGAGAAGGGCGCAGCGGCAGAGCTTGCACAGGAGCTGGCACGCAGCCTGGCCACGCTGAAGGATGAAGCAGTGGTTGATGGCTGTGAAACGCTGACGGCGCCCCCACCAAAGCCAGTCGCACAGACAACCAACAGACGCACCCTGGATGAATTCTTTGACAACGATGAGGCCGCATCGGGCAACATCATGGAGATGAAGGTGTGCTTGTTTGTTTGACCGCCATGCTCGTTGTGGGGCGAGTCGCTTTGGTGAGGGAGGGAGTTGATGGCAGTGCGTGGCTTGTTAGGAGTTGTAATGTATGTTGCGTCTTTGTTTGGTTGTTCGTCCTCAGCATGCATCGGTTTATCCTGTTGTGTCTCTTCACGGCCACGTTGGTCGCAACTTTCGTCGCCCTTGTCGCCACCACTCGCCATTAATGGACGTGTCGTGTACGTGCAACTGCCTCGCACATGCACCCTGCAGGCCATGCTGCAGAGCAAGACGATTCCCGACTACTTTGAGAGCCCAGAGGCCGCGGCGCTGCGCACGAAGCTGCAGGCGCACTCTGAGGCATTGCACGCAGCAAGCAAGGCTGCTGACGGCGGTGGCCGCAAGCAAGCGCAACCACGCATCGACACGCCGCCAGGCGATGACGGACGCGATACCACAGCGACTGCAACTGCTGCTGCCGCTGCTGCTGCGGAAAACACCACCGGTGTGGCGAGAACGCAACCAGCTCCAGTGACGCAGCAAGGACAAGAGGAGGCAGCTTCCACCGACGCAGCAGCAGGCACACAAGACCAGGAAGCGCCGTCCTCAGACACCGTGGAGAGCCCTGGCATGGTGAGTCCCTCAAAGATGTTTTCGTTTGCGCCGGAGCTTGGGGATGACCGCGAGCACTTGCCTGCGGCGCTTGACAAGCGGGAGCGCGAGGTGTCGGCGGAGGTGGTGCGCTCCACAGACCGCGATAACCTTGACGCGTATGCACGCCCGCCATCGCAGGACGATGCCGGCGCCGTCATTGTCGCGCGCCAGCTGTCCGCGACACAACAAGAAGGGGCAAGCAGCAACGCTGGTGCTGAGGATGAGGAGGATGATGATGAGGATGGCGGTGCTCTTGCCGATGCGCCAGCAAAGCTGCGATCCACGCTGACCAAACGCGACCTTGAGGGCTCTGCCATGCCGGAGTCGGACGACGAGCTGGCCGCCACGCCACAGTCGTCATCGCCTCAGGAGCAGGAGACCACGCCCCCGCCCTACAACGCAGTCGCGCAGAAGACGCGCGCGTTTGCGTTTTTGCACGAGCACGCGGAAGATCAGCCGCAGATGGTGCAGGCAACCCCGACGGCCCTCACCAGCGCAAGCGTGGACATGGTCCCTGCGCCCACGGCAACAGAGGCGCGCACGCAGCAGGAGGTGGAGAAGAGCGAGTCGCCGGAGCCGCTTGTGCGCCGGGTCAGCAGCAGCAGCATGGGCGGTGTGCGGCCGTCGAGCGCTGGCTCGCGCACGCTGCCGGAGGTGCGGGTGCGGTCTGCGCAGACGCTTGGCTCGGACCTGCCCCGTGAGCTACGACAGGCACAGCAGCAGCAGCAGCACGGCGCCCCGCTCAAGGAAGTTGTGCCACCAGCACTTGTCCGACCAAACCCACTCCCGGCCATCGGCAGCCACGGGTATGTGTTCTGTGTTGATGATTGGGTGGAGAGAAGGGGGGGGATTGTGGAAGGTGCCTGGAACTGATGTATTGTATTGGATGGGTGCGAAAGGCGTGCATGGGTGTTTTGTGTTTGCCTTTCTGCTTGCTTGCTCGCTAGCTAGCTGACTTGATGTTGTCATCACTGTCCAGGTCCCTTGCAAACGTTGAGCAGAAGGCCGCGCCAGCTGCAGAGAGCCACGTGCCAGCGCACGTTGAGGCTGTGCCATCACAGGTACTTGCGTGTGTGTGTGTGTGTGTGTGTGTGTGTGTGTGTGTGTGTGTGTGTGTGTGTGTGTGTGTCGAACTACTTTTCTCTCCCTCTGTGTGTGTGTGTGCGAGCATAATTGTCCTGTGCTTGTCTCTGGTTTTGTTAATCTGTCTCAACTCGTCATGCTTCGTGTCGTGTTGTCCAGGCCGAGTTTGGGACGCTCAAGGGCGGGTGCACGTACTGCCTGGTCATCAAGCTTCACAACCGCGGCTCTGTACCTTGCGCTGTGGACGTGCATGCGCCACCGGTTGACTCTGGCCTCGACGTGTCATGCTTGGCAGACAAGGTGTGGTCTCAGGGTTATAGCTTATGCCCAGGGTTATAGTTTTGCGTGCGGTTCATTTGCCTTTGCGTGTGTGCATGTGTGTGTGTCGATACGTGTGTGCGTGTCTGTCTGTCGGTCGGTCGGTCTGTCTGTCGGTCGGTCTGTCTGTCGGTCGGTCGGTCGGTCTGTCTGTGTGTGTGTGTGTGTGTGTGTGTGTGTGTGTGTGTGTGTGTGTGTGTGTGTGTGTGTGTGTGTGTGTGTGTGGACACCTGTGTCTATGCACAGTTTTGCAATACTCCATGTATGCCTCACTCACGCGTACAAACCACATGATCCGATTGTGTGCACGTCTGTGAATCAAGATTGCGCCGGGTATGTCCATCAAGGTGACCCTGCAGATTGACACGGCCAAGTGCTTGGGGCCCAGAGCCCAACGCGAACTCAAGCAGGAGGTTGTTATCAAATGTGACACGGCGTCTGTGTCCATCCCCGTTACAGCCAACGTGCTCTCGCTAAAGGTGTGAATGTGTGTGTGTGTGTGTGTGTGTGTGTGTGCGTGCGTGTGTGTGTGTGTGTGCGTGCGTGGGTAGGCGTCTGTGCGTGTGCGTCTGTGCGTCTGACTGCCTGTGTGGGTGTTTGTATGGGCGCCTGCCTCTACGTGAGCGTGTGGATCTGTCTCCGTGCCTGTCTCGATATCTTCATCCGCCCTCCCGTGCATACACGCGCGCATTGCACATTGCCGCTGCTGTGTGGCCAAACATCTTGACGCCGCGTGTACCCGCACTCACGCTCTGCCATTTTTCGGCACCCCTTGGGCACAGGATTTTGAAGCGCAGAAGGTGTCATCACGGAGCAGAGGCCCCGGTGTGCGCCTCATTGCTGCTCGCTCCCACCACCCTTCCACCTCCTAAACGACGCACGCTGACACACACACACACACGCACGCACGTACACACACACGTACACGCACGCACACACGCACGCACGCACACACACACACACACCTGCACACGCACGCACACACGCACGCACACACGCACACACCTTGGTTTGTGCAGTGCAATTTTATTCGGTGCTGCCACACATTTTTTCTTTCGATTGTCACCCCCGCCTTTGACGCTGCAAACAGCAGAGCACTTTCTCTTGTAAAGATACACTTACTGCTCAACCTTCTGTGTCGAACCAAAGCCGTGCATCTTTGTCATCTTCGCGGCTTCACTTTGAGTGCCCACCCAAAACAAACACAGCGCGCTCGACACCAACACAAGACACAGAACAACAACAGCAACAACAGCAGCAGCAGCAGCAGCAACAACAACTACAACAACAAGAAGAATGGCAGACGTGGACGCTGTGGTGCGTAAGACAACGTTCGTTCGCACTGGCGCCAAAAAAGGCGAGTGCTCGGAACCACACACCGACCATGAGTCGACAGACGACCTTGACCTTGCCTGGATGAGGCCTTCGACCCTCACGTTCGACCCAGTGACGCACACGGAGGTCACGCGGGCCTTCTATGCCAGATTCACGAAGCAACAGCAACAGCAGGACGGCGAGGAGTGGTTCAGCGAAGACCTGAAGACGCAGCTCAAGCAGCTTGCAGAGCAGAGTGGCCTTCTCGACAACCACATCACCTCTACAAACAGCAGCAGCGATGACGACACCACCACGACGGCACACGACAGCGACGGCAACAGCAGCGACGGCAACAACACCAGCAGCAACAGCACTCCCAGGAGCAGTTCAGGCACCATCTCCCTTGCTATCATGGTCATGTTGGGACAGCAGCAACCCCACGACGTGCGGCTGCTTGGCTGCAGCCTGCTGGTGACGGGGCTGACGACTGGCGCGCTTCGGCCAAGTGACATCCAGCCAGGCGCCTTGCCTGCGCTGTTGAGCACCATCGGCAAGCCGGATGTGCCGGGGAAGCTGCAGGTTGCCGCATGCTATGCCGCGTTCCACTGCTTCCGCCTGTCGACAGCGCGCGCGCGAAACTCAGCCCTGAAGGACGGCGCACTGCAGACGGTTGTTATGGGCGCCCTCGCTCATCAGGGACGTTCTGCGGATATGCTGTGCGCGGTGCTCGGACTTGTGGTGAAGGGGCTGGCCAGGACTACACCAACAGCGGTTCTCCGTGCAGCCTTCCCCGACATCACGCACGTTCTCTCCCTCATGACGAGCGTGGCCATGGCGTGCAAAAATAACGGCGTGCTAGTGGGTTTTGTGAGCTGCTTCCTGTGCATGGCGGTGTCCACAAAGCTGAGGGAGCCAGCACTCCTTCCTGATGTCAGCGCTGGCATCCTCATCAGCGCCGTGCTGTGGGACTGCAGCGGCACGGGCATTGCGCCAGAAGCGCTCGAGCTCTTCTCGCACATTGCGCGCGGGATGCAGCAAGATCTGTATGAGTGGGTCATGTTCTGGTGCCTTGGCGTTTCAGAGGACGCCGCACGCGTTCTCTTTACAGCATCTGCGTCTGCACTCAGCCAGAACCCAGACAACCTGCGCCTGCTCATGGGAGCGCTGCTGCTGCAGTATGGGTGCGTTCACGAATCAAGAGCGGAGCAATACCTCCTCAACCACAGCGACTGGCCCCACGTGTTTGCAGCAATCTCACGGTCGGAGACGACGGACGAGGAGAAGACTGTGGCCTGGGACGCTGTCAACGCATGTTTGCTCCGACAGCCGTGCCATGACACCACGACGCTGATGCAAGCTATCGAGGCTGGCTTGCGCATGATGCTGACGTATGAGCCCGAGGGGCATGAGGTCAAGCTACAGGGGCTGAGCGAGATGTACCACCGCCACAGCCCCTTCTGCGATGATCTCGGTGACACCTATCGCTCAAGGCGCCCGATATTCACTCGACTGAAGACCATTCTTCGGCAACTCCACCGCGAGCGGGACCATGACGAGGCCATCCGCCTCCTCGTCTCAGTGCACCTGCCACTCTTTACCTGGGCAGCAATGGCAGACATGCCATCGGAATGGGTCGCGGCAATCGTCGAGGCTCTCCTGCACGCCATACGCCACCAGCTGTACTGCAACAACCACGAGTTTGTGCTGATTGGACTCCGCTTTGCGACGAGCTTGACCGGCGCAGGCGCTTGCTTTCGGTCACAGCTGCTCGAGTACGGTGCACCAAAGCTTGCGTTGCTTGTGCTCCGATACGAGCTTCCACTCGCACATCGCTGGAGCGGGCGTGTCTTGGGCAAGGCCGCCATGAACATGTGGACGCTGGCCAGCTTCTACACGAGCGCAACCTGCAGCGCAATCGTGAACGCGCGGGGCCTCTCGGTGCTCCTTGCGGTCCTGCGCCACGTCACGGCGAAGGAGGCGGCTGTGCCAGCCAAGTGCTGCTGTGCGTTTGTGCTCAATCACATCCTCGACGACTGTGACAGTAGCGCCACGTGCGGCGCCGCACAGACCCTGCGCGAGGTGGGCATCAACGCGCTCGACCAGATGATCACGAGCGTGTGTCAGCCGGTGTCGAACCTGACGCAGCCGCTTCACACGGTGGGGTGCGATGTGGTAGGCCTCACGACACAGCCGGCCTGCCTGGCGCTGCGGCTCATGATGAGAATCTGTGGTGGCGACACCGATGAGGGCTGCGTCGAGGCGCAGCACCGCTTCCCGAATGTGCACGTATCGCTGCAGACGCTGACACTGCTGTTTGCACAGCTGTCCCACACAACCGAAACACAGGAAGCCGTGTGCGTGCTTCGCACCCTGGACGTGCTCATGAGCATGGGCGCTGGTGACCAAGATCAAGGCAAGAACGCGCTGGCCTTCGTCAAGCACTGCGGGATGAAGGCCGCTGTGATTGGTGTGAAGTCCCACATTGGTCAATGGCGCGCAGATGTTGCCGCAGCATGGTGCCGCATGCTGGGCACGGTGACGGTGGCTGTTGGGCTGGACAGGATGGCGGCGTCGGTGGAAGACGCCTGCATTGCAAACCCAGAGCTCTCCATCCTCAATTTGGTTCGCCGCGCAATCAGCCTGTCCCAGTCCGCGAGCGGAAGCGACGACGCCATCGTGGTTACTGCCTGTGAGCGACTGAAGCAAGTGGAAGCCATGGCCAACGCCCGCCTCACAGCAAAGAAGAAAGCACGACGCGCCTCCAAGAAAGGTGCTGCGGGCAAGAAGAGCGCGGCGAAGAAGGCTACGCAGCGAGCTCAGGCGGGGCTTGCTCGTGGTGGCGTTCTCAAGACCATCGACCTCAACGTCATCTCTGCCAACGGCGCAGCGCAACTGACGTTCACTGGCAAGTTTTGATCAGTGTACATGGGATCACACCAATCACTTTCAGCGAGCGGCTTGGCAGTCGCCTTTCTCGGTGTACCAGAGCAAGTGAGACAGAGACATGGAAATGCCGGGGGGGGGGGGGGTGGTTGGTCAGGGAATTGCGTGTGTGATAGTGTGTGTGTGTGTGATAGTGTGATAGTGTGTGTGTGTGTGTGTGTGTGTGATAGTGTGTGTGTGTGTGTGTGCGGATGTGTGTGTGGTGGGGTTTGTGTGTGTGTGCGGATGTGTGTGTGGTGGGGTATGGTGGGGTATGGTGGTGTGGTAGGGACTATCGAGCTTCTTGATGCCAACAGATATCACGGATAAAGGCCGCAGTTGTTCGCATAATTCTTTGAACGAGTGTGGGCGGTGGCATGGGGAGAGTGTCGAATCAACATGCTCACGGTAGCATGGGAGTAGTGGACAAGTGTTGCGGATGTCATTTGACGACTTTTCGCTGCTTGTTCTCCATTCCCACTACGTCACTCGCCCTTGACAACTTGAATCTGAACGCGCGCGCGCACACTCACACTCACACACGCGAGCGCCTCTTTTTTCTTGTGGTGGTGCGTCGTGTCGACTGACGCGTGCGTGCGTACATTCAATCACATACTGTGTTGACTGGGTGCTCATGTGATGTGATGTTGCTCGCATGTGCGATGCTCTTGTCACAATGCAGAGTGCGCTTGCGTTTTGTGTTTGTGTGTCTCTCACGTCAGGACTCCTGACAGGTCACGTTCATTGTTGTTTCTCTATCCCACATTGACTGCATATTGTCCATATCACCATAAACGACAGCTGTTGATGATGTGCAAACGTTACATGACGTGAAACCCCACTCACCAGCAGAGTGGGTGGCTGTGTGTGTGATGAAACTGTGACCGTCAAGTGAGTGCAGTTCGACAAGTGAACAAATGAGCGAACAAACAGTCGAATGGTTGCAGCACAGCACAGCACAGGAATAACGTTGTGTGAGATACGCAGACAAATTTTGTACATGTCCTGTCGACAGAAGGCCGTACGGTGGCTGTGATACTGCAGCAATGAGGGCGACGAGGGCAAAGACAGCAAAGATCTATGGTAGCGAGGATGGCAGACGAGGGTGATTGGCGTGGGTCTCAATTCTTCCTTGGTAACAGCGCGTTGTCAACGCATTCACGCACGCACACAAGTATATAAAGGTACGCACACACACACACACACACACACACACAGAGCACGCGCGTTGCAGCTTCTTTCTCAAGTGCGCGCACACGCTCCCTTTCTCCTCGAACACTGCAGCACAAGCGCACACATCGCTCATTTTCCTTCCGCTGCGGAGTGACTCCATCCACGTTTGCGCTTCAGCGTCCTGCATCATCGCCCTCAACTGACGACATCAAGCTCAAGACTCCATCCCGTGTACCTTGACTGCCATCGCGTCCCCCAGTCGACAGCATCGACGCACGAGAGGCACGTCTTCGTCCTGCGTCGATTGTTGTTTCAACCACAACCTCCTCAGCACATACAATCACACTCTCCCCACGCCCAGGCAAGCCAACACGCCTGATCGACACACGCGCATTGCACCTCTTTGTCAAGGGTTGGCAGCGACAACACAAACTCTGCGTCGACACGGTGGACAGCAAGACGACGGCGCTTGCCTTCCTCGCTTCACGTGTTGGTTTGAACGCTGAACGCGCTGTGCACACGGCCACAGGACGGTCGCATCAACGTCATCCTCCTCTTCTCCGCTTCGTCCATCTGCATCATCTCAGGCTGCAGCCATGCCTTCTGGGTCACCACCTGCAAAACGCCCAGCCACTGCTGCAAGAAGGACGGACACATTGTCAGCCGACGCGCCCACGACGCCAAACGCACCCACAACGACGGTACATCGGCCACCCGCGACAGCAGATGCACATGCGTCTTCCACTACAGCACGCACCCCTTCGTTGCCGACATACGTGCCTCCCACGACGGCACGTGCATTGCCCGCCGCAGCACAGGCGTTGCTCGCCTTGGCAGGCGTTGCTCCGGCCACGTCAAACGCTGGTCTCGCCGTGACACCCACTGCTCCCGGTTCAGTGCCCGCTGCTCCCGGTTCAGTGCCCGCTGTTCCCGTTTCAGTGCCCGCTGTTCCCCTTTCAGTGCCCGCTGTTCCCGTTCCAGCACCCACTGCTCCCACAAGTACACGCGCTGGTCTCGCCGTGACACCCACTGCTCCCCTTTCAGTGCCCGCTGTTCCCGCCATGGCGAACGCGCCTCCTGCTACAACTACGTCAGGAGCACCTGCCTCAGCCTCTCCCGCAGCTGGCAACAATGACGTGCCAGAAGCTGAGCTGCAGGCACTTGGGCAGGAAATGCTGACATGCCGGGACCAAGCAGTAATGGCAGCGCTACAGCGCCAAGCGCTCGCGGCCGGAAAGCGTGTTCTGATCGCTCGGTTTGGGGGCCTTGATGGGGGCGCTGCCTGGCGCAAGGAGATATCACCGATCATCACGGCGTACGTCAAGCAGCGCCCACGACTAGGCAGCCTGCTGCTTGCAGTGGCTCTGAAAAGCAAGGTGCTGCAGCCCGACGACGTCGAGCCTGATGCGCTTCAGGCCCTCTTCAGCATGATGAGCGACCGGCAAGTTGACGCGACCACGCGCAGACATATGGCATATGCAGCCAACGAGGTCGCCAGCCAGGCACCGCCTTCGCTGCTGAATGCAATGCTGAAGGACGGCGACCTGCAGGAGCTGGTGGTGGATGCACTGCCTCACTACGCAGATCCTGTGACGTGCAGCTTCCTCCTTGACGTGTGCGCCTTTGTCTTCAACGTGTGCAGGGCGATGTGCGGCTTTGAGTCGACAGGTGCACGTCGCTGGTTTCGTGACCTGCCACGTGTGCTGAAGCTCGCGGTTCACATGGCCCAGGACAACGGTGTCGTTGTGGTCGCTGTATTGCTCTTGGTCCGAGCTGCGGTGGAGTTCATGGATGCAGTCGCGGATGTGCCGGACGACCTCGCCAAACTCTTGGTGCAACACAGTGGCTGGACAAGACGGGGCACATTCTCCCACCTATTGTCCGTGATAGTATCGGCGCAGATGCTGCTCAAGTTGTCGGATGTCAGCGAAGCAGAAGCAAGGGCTTTCCTCTCCAGACTTGCTGCGTTCACCCCATCACAGCACGCCCGCCAGATTATGGTGGTGGTCCAGCACGTGCACGCGGCCACATCCCCGCAAGACGTACAGCGTCTATTTGGCATGCTGGCTTTGCAGTTTGCAGCCATGTCAAAGCAGCAGACGTCACACTTTCTGCTCTGCCGCAGTTACCCTCACGTACGACAGCTGATCGCAGCACTGCAGCAGCAAGACACCTGGCCACCGCTCGTGATGTGGCTTGTCTGGCTTGCTCTGAAGGACATGGTGCTGGATCGGCAACTCGTCGACGCTGATCTTCGACGTTTGGCCATCCAAGCCGGCTCGCGCTACCTGCTCGCACAGGACGCACCCGGCTGCGACACCGATGCGACTCTGCTGTTGCTTGCCGACGTGACGCCAGAAGCGGACGTGGACAACATGGTTCACACGCGGGTGACGCGAATCGAAGCGGTGCTGACGAACACCGACGGAGACCGGGAAGCAGGCGGAGGCATGGCCGCAGCGGTCGACGATATGCTGCTTCTGCTCCGTGACCTGGTTGCGTGCTCATCACATCTGTCATACGAGGTGGCATGCGCGACCGTCGACGTCTTGTGGACGGCTGCCCAGCTGCATGCGCAGGCGAGTGAGCTCATGGTGTTGGCGGTGCGTGGCCTGACGTACCTGGCGAAGTCCAGCACACACGTCGCAGAGCGCATGAGGCATCGCGATGTGGTGGCGGGTGCACTGGCTGCCGCTCGGCGAGGAGTCTCCCAGAACACACTGCAAGGCAAAGCCATGCTGGCACATGCCCTGGGGCTGGTGTCGGCCATCTGCGCGTCTGATCCCGCCCACTACGCCTCCATGCTCGACTGTCATGAGGGTGCTAGTGGTGTTGGGATGCTCCTTCAGATTGCACGCAATGACACGGGAAAGTGCTGGGCCAGCGTACTTGGGTTGCTGAAGGACCTGCTGCACACGCCTGCGAGAGCAGAGGTGCTCCGCGTGCATCGCCGGATGTGTCTGGAGGCCATGCTTGCTATTGTGTCGAGCAAACGCGTCACGCCCAAGATGACCATCCAGCAGGATACGCGCATCGGAGCAAAGCATCTGTCACCAGCATCCTACATCGCCGACATCCTCACGGAGCTGCTGCTGAGGAGGAGAAGGAGAAGAAGGAGAAGAAGGAGAAGAAGGGGCAGAAGGAGAAGAGCGGAGATGAGCGTCTCGCCAGGGAAAACACAACTCATGTGGTGGAGGTTGCTGTCTCCCGCCCCTTGCTTGCGCTGCTCGTGCATCGTGCTCGTGAGATGAGGCTTTTGGGCGCTGGTGCGCAACGCACGGCTCGCGTACTCCGCGCACTGGAGATCCTGGTGGGCATGCGCGGAAATGCGCTCGAGTTTGTTGGACCCGGGGATGGACCTGAAGGCGACGACTGCTTTGGCGACTTGCTCGACGAACTCGCGGAGTGTTTGGCCTCAGAAGGACAGACGCACACCGTTGCGTGGTGTCGCTTGATGGGTGTGGTCATGCGCACGATGGAATCGAATCTGGAGCCCCTACGACTGGCGCTGCGACGGCATGTCAGCCGCAACGCTGAGCGGTTTGCCAGTTCGACTCGGGGGCCTGGGATGAAGTTCCTGCTCAGCGTGTTCAAGGACGCACTCAAGCGCTGCGGCTGTCGCACCTACGACAACGATGCCGTGGTGGTTGACACGCGCGCTCGCCTCCAGGCACTGATCAATGTCCTGACCAAGGAGGATCAGCAGTCACAGCGACGAGGAAGGGAAGGGAGAGGAGGAAGGGGAGGAAGGGGAGGAAGGGGAGGAAGGGGAGGAAGGGGAGGAAGGGGAGGATGATTGGTGGTGGTGGGAAGTGGGGGAGAGGGGGAGGGTGCAGTGTAGTGTAGTGTGTGTGTGTGTGTGTGTGTGTGTGTGTGTGTGTGTGTGTGTGTGTGTGTGGAGGTATGTGTGTGAGTGTGTGTGTGTGTGTGTGTGTGTGTGTGTGTGTGTGTGTGTGTGTGTGTGTGTGTGTGTGTGTGTGTGCGGACGGGAGGTGTGTGGAGGTGTGTTGTTGAGGGGCAGGTGCAGAATAAACGCTCTCTGAAACACATCCAAAGTGACAGCACGTTCAGTCGTTCAAGGTGTGACGCAGGATACAGGAAGAGACACCAAAGGCCAAGCATGCAGGCAGCACAGCAGCATGTGCAAGAAGCACATGTACAGTGCCTCAGTGCACCAAAGGAAAAAAAAAAAGAAACGCGAGCCTCCAGCGGGGCTCGAACCCGCGACCCTGAGATTAAGAGTCTCATGCTCTAACCAAACTGAGCTATGGAGGCTGGAACTGATCCAATTTTGGATGGGGTCACAGGGCAAAATTTGCTCTGTTGATTCAGGAAGGTACTCATTGTGTGCTTCGAGCGCCGACTTGCTTCTTTGCTCTTTTGCTTGCTGCCTTTCTGACTTGAGCGAGACAGAGAGACAAGGAGACACTGTTGCACCTGTTGCACGGTGTAGGGATCTGAGAGCAGGGAGAAGGTAAATGGTTGGAACAACACTACCCTGCCTGTGTTTCGTGATGATGATGATGGACCTTTCTATGCGACCTTGAATAGTGTAACATTGAACCATTGAACTCTTCTAGGCCTTTTGCTTACTTTAGTTTATTCTGCTTTGTTTTCTGGGAGTGTGTCTTCTTTTCTTTGATAACGAGACAGGTGGAGGGAGATGAGAGGCTACTGAACCAGTCTGGGCCGTGTATTGTAACACTAGAAGTAACGAAGCGAGAGAGTGTGGTTGTTATGGTTGAGTGATGAATGAAGAAAAGATCTAAAGATGATGCTGTTGTGAGCGCTGAACTGAGATGGCTGGAGTCGCACGGACCTCTTGGGGATTAGGAGAGTGGCTAGCACACCAGAACAGCAGGTGTGGGGCAAGGACACAGCAATAATGCTTTGCACGAACAAGAGAGGGAAAAAAAGGTGGCTCTGAAAAAAAAAGTAAACGCGAGCCTCCAGCGGGGCTCGAACCCGCGACCCTGAGATTAAGAGTCTCATGCTCTAACCAAACTGAGCTATGGGGGCATATCTTGTTGTGATGGAGAGAGAGAAAGTGACAATTACAACCATGGCTGGATGCTGCTGGCAAACAAGACGAACGCAGCAAGCACTTGAGCACTGTTGTCACACTGTGAGTGCACACTCCTACACTCACTGGAACAAACAAACAGGCGGACGGTACAAGAACCATGACATGCACAACGGCGTGCTTTGACTACATAAGGCGTGAATAGAATACAAATACGAGGCAAACAACCAAAATGGGGCAGGGGGGGGGGATTCGAAACGACAAGAATCAGACGATAGAACGACAGCAGAGCACGACTAGAATGACATCCACACAGCAAACGGAAGTCCGGCCAGCTCCAGAGTAGAGGCACCTCTGCACCTAGGCACGTCATGCGCTACTGCTGCTTCCGGTGCTGTGCTGCTGCTCTTGGTGGTGCTGCTTGGCCAAGCGGATCAGCTTGTTGGCCTTGCCCATCGTCACGCCAGCATCCGTCAGCACTTGTACTGTCAGCATCTCGCCAACAACCAACTCAACCAAGTCATCGAGCGTGTCAATGTCGTGCTCAGCAAGGGCTGGTGCAACCTGCGGTAACAGCGAGTGGTGGTCGAGCCACGCTTGCAGCTTTGGCTCAAACGAAGAAACAGTGGTCGTTGTGGAAGTGCTGGAAGGCAGAACGGACGGTGACGATGACGACATGGGTGGTGCGGTTTGCGGCTGGCGTCGTTGACTGCCATGGTTGCCGTTGCTGTTGCTGTTATGGTTGCTGTGATGATTGCTGCTGCTGTTATGGTTGCTGTTGCTGCTGTTGCTGCTGTTGCTGTTGCTGTTATGGTTGCTGTGATGCTGTTGCTGTTGCTGTTGTTGTTGCTGCTGCTGCTGTTGCTGTTGTTGTTGCTGCTGCTGCTGCTGCCGCCATTGCATGCGGCAACAGCTTTACGCACACGCTCTGCGATTCTTGACGCATCCATTGCTCGGTCAACCTCGTACTGGAAGGATGTGATCCCATCCATGTCAAACAGCGACAGCACCACTTCGCGCACAGTCTTGTGCTGCTGTGGTGGCGGCAGGTGCAGCACCCGTGCAAAGTACTGGTCCAGCGCTGCTATGATCTTTCTGTTCACCACATCTGGCAGTGTCATTGCCAGCCGCTTCATGCGGTCAAATGA